CTGTACGCCTTCATCAATAACGATAGAAAAATGTTCAATATAACGCTCGATATGGTTTCACTTAAAGTCCCCGTGAACCGGAAGTTGCAAACGACTTTTCTCCAGTGTTGTGACGTATTTCCGAGAGAAACGGAATACTAAATGAGGCAAAATGGTGGGCGTGGCTTTTCCCCCAACTAGCACCTGATTGGATCTAGAAAAGTAGGTGTTTTCATTCAGCCTGTCTACTGTCAGTTGGAGGGGCGTGATTATGGATGTTAAGAAGACGCCCAAACCGTGAAACCTACGTCATCAGGCAAGGTCCTCCAACGCAGAGGGGAGGGGAAATTTCAGATTTTGATTAAAGATTACGAAGCCAAAAAATTTTTTTGTGTGGATTGACTTGCATGGATGAATTGTTCACCACAAAACGATCAATTTAGGCAAACAAAGTAAGTATGGTCAATTTTGAATTCATGGGGACTTTAAACACAATAAAATGTAAATAGACATGAAGTTTGGTTCATAAGCCTTGATAAAGGAGTGTAGTAATACGAGTGACAAGCAAACAAATTGCGTTGCAAACGTAAAGTTAGGGGTGTGCGAAATTGACAAATTAACGTTATATCTATATTTTCTGGGAGGATTTTTCACTCAGGTCACCAACCCCCAATATATGCCTTACTTTACACTCCACAAAACTCTTCATTTGAACAGACAATAGCAAATAATACTTTAACAAATAATAAAAGATACTTACCGGCTCTGATTCAGAAGCGCCAGATTGCCCTAGAAAATTGGAATTGGCTTTGTGCACATCCAGTCTTGAGCTCTCCCAGGTTCAGGAAACTGTCCTCCGCAAAATACGCTGCACACACACGAACATTTGGGTTGTACTGTTCTGGAACAGTGTTGTGAATAAATATTAACCACTGATTCGTAATTGTGTACACTTTTAGAAGGCCAAATAAAGAATTTTTGCTTTCGCGTAGAAACACGCAGCGTCTCCACAAAATGGCGGCGACACACACACCACAATGGAAGCCACGCCTTCTTTCTTTGCGTACGCATTGGGCGGCATTATGCAAATATTTCTAGCTAGTGACGTAGGTCGGCGAGGGAGCAATCGATCCAGACTTTTTGCGATCTGCGGCAGATCATCTGCCTTTCTCTTTTAGATAGCATAACTATTTGTGTGATAGACTGAGCTTTGTAACTTTGCAGATCTTATACGTGCATAAACAGCTAGATAACACAATAAGGAAATAGGAAAACATTATAAATTGGTAAAATCACGTGATCTCAGCAAACGAGGCTTCGTTCGTGGCGTCATACCAAATTATTCACTAGGGCATTTGATGTGGTCAAATACTGATGTAGGTTTTAAACTTTTAACTGATCTCGCCAGTTTTTATGTTGAAGTTTTAGATCAATATATATCAGCGATTATTACACTTTTATTCTCATTGCATTTCCAGTTTTGACCAGCAGGTGTCGCCAGAGTCACGAGCAACAGTGAACTATTTTCTGAAACAGTTGTTTGAATCTATTCAGATTTATCTCAGATTTAGCACACGAAGCTGTGGTTTATTATAATGTGTTTTTGGATGAACATTGACAGAAACAGGTAAAAAATAATAGCTAATGTGTAAGTAAAAGTGTGTGGGTGTGAGTGTCGCCCTCATGTGGAGAATCCAGGTTCAGTTCTCACTATTGTGGAATAATGTTTTAATTGTAAGGTTGAAAATGCTTTCGTTTCATTAGTTTTAATAATCATTTCAGACAAAACTCCCTCCAAAAACACAAAGTTTAGCCGAGGAAGCTTCTCTGGCTCAGCGTTCACTCCTTTACATGGAGAATCCCGGTTCAAATCTCACTTCTGAGGTGGAACTTCTTTTACTTTTAGTTGATGAATGATAGAGACAAATCTTGTCCCAAAAAGACATGCTGAAAAATAATAGTTCTGGTGGCTCAGTGGTCTGTGTCACTTATATGGTGCTGCTTTGTGTTGAGAATCATGGTTGGAATTGCACTTTTTGTGGTAAATGCTTTAATTTCATTGGTTTTGTCATAATAAAAAAGATATGACCCCTAAAAAAAGAGGTGGAAACACAGAAGCTCCAGTGGGTTGAGTGTTGCTCCATCATGTGGAGGATTTGGGTTCGAATCCCACTCTTTGTGTTAAAATGCTTTATTTTCACTGCTTTGTCCAAATAAAAAAGACATGCCCCCAAAATAAAGAGGAGAAAGAGTGGAAGTGCCAGTGGCTCAGTGGTTTGAGCTTGTTCTCCCCTGTTGGGAGGATCCAGGTTCGAGACCGGCCTGGGCACTGAAGTGTGGATGCATGGAGCAAAAGCTGCGATAGAGACGTGGGTTTGAGTCTCACATGACTTTAACTGGTTTATTGTAGAATCACAACAGTGAAATATGAGTTCCAGCAGGATAAAGTCAAGAGATCTGTGGCTCACTGGTATGAGCACTGCCTCATGGTTCAGAGGTTACTGGTTCAAACCCTGGTCAGATCTCCAAGAAATCAATAGGTGAGATGATGATGATGATGATGATGATGATGATGATGATGATGATGATGATGATGATGATGATGATGATGATGATGATGATGGAGATGGAGAAACTGGTTGTCTGGAAAAGCCAGTTGAAAAATTGTTTAGTTAAATCTAGTCTGAGGACTAAGTAAACATTTGGGGTAAAATATAATCGCTGCTGGTTATGGTCCCAGAAACCCCCAGGGGGAGGAGTGTGGATATTGCCTCCCCCCTTCGTGTCCGAGCTTCTCTCGCCTGATCCGATCGCTCCCAATGCCTGTCTCGGATCATGATCCCGTTCCTTCACGCATCCACGCTTCAGTGTCCAGGCCGGTCTCGAACCGGGATCCTCCCAACCAGGGAGAACAAGCTCAACCCACTGAGCCACTGGCACTTCCACATGAACACTTCTTTATTTTCGGGGCATGTCTTTTTTATTTGGACAAAACCTGTGAAAATAAAGCATTTTGACATAAAGAGTGGGATTCGAACCTAAACCCTCCACATGATGGAGCAATGCTCAAACCACTGAGCCACTGGAGCTTCCACTCTTACTCCTCTTTATTTTGGGGGCATGTCTTTTTTATTTGGACAAAACCAGTGAAAATAAAGCATTTTAACACAAAGAAAAATCTTCTTGCAAGCTTTTCTGTCTGGAGGGAGTTTTGTCTTAATCATTGAGAATCAATGAAACTAAAGGGTTCCTTTCATGAGCAACGGCATGTGATTCGAACCCGGATTCTCCACGTTAAAGAGTGAAACTCAGACCGCTGAGCCACTTGTCCAAATAAAAAAGACATGCCCCCAAAATAAAGAGGATTAAGAGTGGAAGCTCCAGTGGCTCAGTGGGTTGAGTGTTGCTCTATCATGTGGAGTATTCGAGTTTGAATCCCATTCTTGGTGTTAAAATGCTTTAGTTTCACTGGTTTTGTCCAAATATAAAAAAGACATGCCCCCCCAAAAAAGAAGTGTTCATGTGGAAGTGCCAGTGGCTCAGTGGGTTGAGCTTGTTCTCCCTGGTTGGGAGGATCCCGGTTCGAGACCGGCCTGGACACTGAAGCGTGGATGTGTGAAGGAACGGGATCATGATCCGAGACAGGCATCGGGAGCGATCAGATCAGGCGAGAGAAGCTCGGACACGAAGGGGGGAGGCAATATCCACACTCCTCCCCCTGGGGGTTTCTGGGACCATAACCAGCAGTGATTATATTTTACCTCAAATGTTTACTTTACAAAATATCCAGCCTCAGGATTAAGTCAACAATTTTACAGCTGCTTTTTCCAGATAACCAGTTGCTCCCCCAGGATCATGACTAGGACTCCTCCATCCTACCATCCTCTCCACCTGTTGATTTCTTGGAGATCTGACCAGGGTTTGAACCAGTAACCTCTGAACCATGAGGCAGCGCTCATACCTGTGAGCCACAGATCTCTTGACTTTCTCCTGCTGGAACTCATATTTCACTGTTGAGATTCTACAATAAACCAGTTAAAGTCATGTGAGACTCAAACCGTGTCTCTATCGCAGCCTCACACACAGAGAGTGTGTGTTTAACCACTCGCCCATCATGACCCGACTCTCACCAGTGAATATAACCAGTGGAATCATTAGCTGTGTTTCCATTAAAGACGGTGTTTCCATAAACTGATGTTATGTACTGATAAACTGATGCTAAAACGTCATTTTTTCCTCTCGTGATAAGTCATTACAAAAATCATGGCAACTGATGTTGTTAGTGTTATGTGTATCTCAGCCACCACACTAGACATTATTTTAAACGGAAGGGGACGTAGTCGTGTTGTCCAACATTAACGGCAAGGAAAGACACTTACACTGAGAGCGGCACATAGGAGGAGTTTCATTTTCATTTCATATGAGGGTTTATTGTAGAATCACAACAGTGAAATATGAGTTCCAGCAGGAGGAAGCCAAGAAAAATGAATTTTCTCCCTCATTTCTACTTCAAAGTCTTGATCAATTGTGGCATTTCTTTGTTGTTTAGAATCCAGTATTCCCGTAATATTTTTGTCTTTTATGAGTTTAATGAAGAACTGTCTCCTCTTCTGTCCAAACATACCGGGTCATCTACGTCTTTTGCAAAATTGATGTTTCAATTCACAATGTCAAGGGTAATGGAAACTGTGAAAAATTATGATACTCTTATAATACTCTAATATGAAGTGAGCCTGTTCACTGATAAGTCTGAAATCATATCAAACTGGACATAACAAATTAGATTTAACATTTTTGAATGAGAAACCCTGATTCAGGCACTGAAAGCACATGTTCAGTGGATTAATATTTTCGGTTTAATGAAATCCGCATTTTGTAAGACTGATAAACAATATTATTATTATTATAAATAATATTATTGATAAACAATGAAAGCTGCAGCCAATTATCATCATGACTCTAACCAATCAGGGTTAAGCATCAATCAAATACTAGTGTACAAATCCATACTGTAACGTCTGTGAGTTTGAGCATCATTTGTGTTTATTTGAGTTCAAATACAGTATCACACATCAGCGAACGCATCATGATCCGAACATCTTGATTTACGTGCGAAAGCGACTTGAAATGTGAATTTGCACAAATGAGATGCTAGCGTTAGGCGTCTTATTAAAGTCAATGCTAAAACATAAATGGAAACTCATTCAATAGACATTTAGTAGAAACAGGCCTTAAAAAAATTTACATTTAAAAAAAAAATCGAGCGAGGCACGTTTGATTGGCTAAAGATCCCTGAGTGCGTAGTTAATTTCCTTTCCAAAAACAATCAAAGCACTATAGAGGGGCGTCGGCCTCATTAGCATATCGATGGATCTTCGGACCTATCAGCTTCTCGCTGAAACGACTAGTCTCCGCCCCTTTCCACCAATCAGCTGCTGGATAGATGTACCACATGACCACGCCAGACGGGTTGACTGACACAACGAACTCTGTGCTGTCCTTCAGCTCGGGAAAACGCTTCTCCGAAAACACATCAAGCACCTGAGAGAGAGAGAGAGAGAGAGAGAGAGAGAGAGAGAGAGAGAGAGAGAGAGAGAGAGAGAGAGAGAGAGAGAGAGAGAGAGAGAGAGAGAGAGAGAGAGAGAGAGAGAGAGAGAGAGAGAGAAAAATAACTTATAACTTTATAACTTATGTTCGTCTGAAAGAAGAAAGTCATATACTCCTAGGATGGCTTCAGGGTGAGTAAATCATGGGCTAATGTTCATTTTTGGGTGAACTATCACTTTAAAAGAGAGAAATCAGTGTGTTTGCCCGCTTGTCTGTGTGTAAAGGCTCACCTCATAGACTCCAGGAGTGTATCCCAGCGTCTTCAGAGATGTCATGTATCGATTCGGCATATCTGTCCTCCGGCTGAAGAACACCAGAGCGCTGGCTCCTTTAGAGAGAGGCCGAAGGTACACCTCAATCCCACTCTTCTCCTGAGACAAACACGATATCAGGTCAGAAATGCACTTTGTCTCATGTTTATATCATATGATATAGTTAAGCAATATCACACGAGCGCTAATGTGATACTGATTTTATACAACAGTTCAACAAGTTAATTTTCTGTTATATTTAAGACACAATATTGTCTGTTTTTGCTCAATATTTGCTCAATAAGCTCAAGTTTCATTTCTGAATGAATCAGCGTTCTGAACGAATCAATCAGGTGAACCAACGATTCAATGACTCATTCATAAAGAGAGCCGTTTACTTCATTCCTGATGAATCAGCATTTTGAATAAATAAATACAAAAATCATATTTTGTGGATAGTTTGCCTAGAAGTGAAAATTCAGTGTTTTTTTTTTACATTTTCTCCCTCATGTCGTTTCAAACCTGTATGACTTTCTTTAGTGGAACAAAGATATTTTGAAGAATGTTGGTAATCAAACTGATTCGATCTGTAAATGTATTTGAATACTTATAATAAAAACAAACATGGCTAAGCATTTATGAGTAATAAATTCTATGTTGAATCTTATAAAATAACGCCTCTCTAAAGCTATTTTTCTAATGTCTATTTGATGCAATTTAACACACATTAAATTAAACACATTCATTTAACATAATAATGACTTTAAATGAACTTTTGAGGGTAATTTCTCAGCCGAATTTCATGTGCGATTAATTAATCGGCATGTCATGTAATTAATTAGATTTAAAAAAAAAATGTAATCGCTCTACATCTATTTGTTAAATTTGACCCTTTTCACCTGTAGTGTCTTAGCTTAAAATATTATTAAATAAATAAATAAATTTAATTATTAATTATAATCATTATTAATAAAGTAATACAAATCTGTTTAAATAATAAATTCTACAATATTTAAATAAAAAAATAAAAAATACAGTGAGTAAAAGTGAGTACCTTTATTAATATTTTGACATTTTTATATTTTTAGTGTTAGTTTTTTTAAATCTTGCTATTTTTAAAAAATAGTTTGTTGTGTTAGTTGTATTGTTTTTAATAGTCTTAGTTGTAGTCAATACCCCTGCATTTTTATTAATATTTTGAATTAGCTATTATTTTTACATTTATAGTATTCATTTTAGTTTAATTTTAGCAATTTGCTTTTGTCATTTTAGTTTTTTAGGTTTATTTTTTATTTATTTAATTTAGTTTAATGTTTTCCACTAATATTTATATTCCATTTACCGTTTTTAACAGTCTTAGCTTTAGTCAATACCCCTGCTAAGAGAAAGCCAATCCTGTGGATCACTGACCTTGAACAGGCGTCTGCCCTGGACACCCAACGGGTCCTGATTGATGGCGATGGCGACTTTATTCTGCAGGATTGCGCGAGCGGCGCTGCTAATCGTACGCAGGTCGTTGG